AATTAATCAAATTACTCCCACAAGGAGAAAGAAACAAAATTATATCAAGGCTGGATTTTTCAGCTTCACTTCGAAGCAAAATTTCCTTGTGTAACTGTCTTTCAGGCAAATTATTTAAGTTTGCATGCACATGTCTTTCAAGTATCATATATTTTCCCAGCAATGCATGTTTCAATATCTCAGAAAAATACCACATTCTCTCCTTTTCTTACACCTTCTCTCATTAGGCTTTCACTTGTATCAGACTGGAAGACTACTCCATTTCCACTTGGGATGTACTATCTTTCCAGCTTCTTGGTATAATCCTCTTTGCTGCTATTAGTCGCAGCTATTCTGATATCAAGTTTCTTTTTGTCAGAATTTCCTTCATTTCTGAACTATCACTTCCAAAGCATGTGGAGAAGGAGTTTAACTATTTGGAAGTACCAGCTACTGGCAATTTTCAAAGGCAAAAATCTCAACGTTAGAGCAGAGATCCAGTTTGACAGGCCAATCCTGTTATCTCAAAAAGTTGGAGTACAGAACTTGCTAATAAAAATGCAGATCCACAAGTAAGAAAGAATAGATTTAACAGGTATGTAAGAAGAATCTTTTTGCTGAAATACACACACAGAGGAGCTAACAGCAAACCTGCAATCTCATTTGAGAAGCTCTTCTGCAATGTGTAATTGCTTTCCTTTAAGCTCTCCTATACTTCTGCGTTTCTTGGCTTTCATTTGATTGCATATTTTCAATTCTGTGTCTGAATTCTTGAGAATTAAGAAAGGATCTTCTCAAACTACTTGAAGGATTACATGAAGTGGCTACCAACAATGGGAGAAATGGGCCTTGATGACCCAGTAAAAGTTTGTAGGACCTTTCTGTGTTTATGTGCTGTGGTCAGGGTCTTTAATTCCTCATACACTGGCTGATGTCTCCCTGCCTAAAGAAAAGGTATGCCTAGATATTAAATAGGCACCAAATTACCTACTGGTAACCACGAGGAGCAGTGAAAGGAAGACCTTACTTTCAGGTCCATACTCAAAGTTTGCATTGATATGTACCGCCACCACTGGGTCACTAAGAAGGCTTTAAAGCAGTGGGGTGGCCTCTAGAATTTATATGCAAATAAAATGTTTCTGTAAGACTTCTGTAAGTGGAGTAGAACTACAAAACTTAGTTTATTATGGTTATGTCTTTCCCCCATAACTCTTTCTTCATTCACAATAATATCAGCTCCTTCCAGCACCGTGGTCATACCAGATAAAATACCTCAGTTACTACTCTGGAACTGCATGCAGGATGATCCCTTGGTCAAAGAGATTGTATAACTGCCCATACTTTCCTCAGTAGACGTGTTAACCTGGGTCTCCTTTCTCTAATGTACCTGCTAATTCCCAGGGAGCAGATGGAAATGCTAGATTAACAGTTGGACTCAATGATCTTAGAGGTCTTTTCCAAGCTTAATGAATCTATGATTCTATGAAATACAGTAGTCCTTGGGATCTCTATTTATCTTTCACAATACTAATAGAATATCAGTGCAATTATATCACTGCATAAACTCATTTCTTTGGGAAATCAGACTCAAACCAGCTGCGGAAGATCCTCCCCTGTGAAGGACAGCAACCAGATGGCTCACAGCAGATAATGGAAGGATGAGAATTTTGGCCAAGAATACCTCAGCTCTTACAAAAGCTGCTATTTCATCACCATTACAAATTGAATACTAAGACAGATGGAGCATGGGGTTTTGGAGTCTCCTCTGAAAGATTCACCTGGAACAAACTGAAAAGCAAAGAGTTTGCCAGCAAGACAAAGCCTAAAAAAATCTCCTATATTCTAGTAAATGCTAGTTCTTCTTAGAGTTTAAGCAATCCAGGCAGAGGAACTACCTCATCCAGAATATTCATCTTCCCACCTGGGAAAGCTGGAAACATGTTACAGCAGTAGATTATGAAGAAGATGGGAAATAGGTAATACATACCTATTTGTGAGGGGTAGATATTGTTAGTTAATGTCACATTTATAGAGGACAGTTAGATAATACCTCACACTCTCTGTGGAGACTGCAGCAGTAGAGTTTGAAGACCAAAATCTAGAGGCTGGCAAGCAAAGTATCTGAGGTTGTTTTTCAGGCTTTATGAAAGTTGTGCTTGCTGTATTAGAGCCATTCTGGGACAAATGAGGTCAGTACTTTATTTCTTCTTACTTTATTCTTTCAGCTTGAAAGTGTCCTGTGAAGGCCAGGCACTCTTATTCTGTATTTCTAGAAACACTTTGAAGCTAGGTGATAAAAACAAGGTAACTCTAATAGTTCAGATAGAGAAGTAGGCTGTAAGACTTCTGTTTCTTCTGCTGGTTTGATTTCATATACAGTAGCTTGAAGCTGACTTGAAAATGTTTATCCTGGTGGTTAGTAGCATACGTCTTCATGCTCAGACAAGGCAATCAGAAAGATCAACGCAAGGTACAGATGCCAGTGTTGTACTTCTGAAGCAATGTCAGACTCGGGAAATATTAATTAGAGGAAAGATTTTCATCCCCTAGAGAACCTACGGCTATTTTCTAAGTTAAAGAATATTCTTTCTTGATGAACAGACACAATTTAAAAACAAACAAACAAACAAACAAAAAAGAAACAAACAAACGACAAAAAAAAAACCAACAAAAAACCCCAACAACAAAACCACAAACAGACAAACCAAAAACAACAACAAAAAAATCCACTACACACTATGGGCAAGTGGGTGCTTACAGTAATTATGAGAGATAGCAAAATATTAGTTTCTGGTTGGAAAAAGAAGTAGCCCGTTCCCTTCTTTTTCTTCAATAGCTGCTTGTGGAAATGGGTTGTGTTGGGCACATTTCTAATATGACAAACTGTGCATGAAATGCCAAGTTAAGCAGGAACACAGTCATAAGAAAACTAGGAAGTTGTCTTCTCTAGTGACAACTCATAGGCCCTCACCAATCATTGGTTTTGATCTTCATGCCTGGGAAGAAATATTACCTCTATCTGGTTCAGGCAGACAGCAGCTTCTCATGTCTGTCTATAGACAGGAGATAACGCTTTTTCTGTCTTTGGCATTTAGGGGGTATCAGAGAGCCTTATCATCTGCCCAGCAGCCGTGGGATAAGAAAGAGACCATTTTTCACAGTTGCATGGAAATATGTGATATTGTGGGGACTAGTGTACATGAAATACAATGTTTTGTAGCTAAAGAACATGATATGCTTCCATAGCCAACCTGTAGCACAGACAGAGACAGTTCAGGTTCAAAATGCATTCCAGGTGTGCAACAGGAACAGGTTTTATCCCATAGCAGAGGCATGGCAGATCTGGCAAGGCATGTGCTCGGGATCTGAAAGAAGTGAAGGACATGAGCGGAAGGAAACAAACGAAAAATAGAGGGAAGACATTAGTACATTTTTCTCATGGAGGATTGTAACAGCTGTGAATAGGTCCTGTTTAGGGCATAAGTATTCCAATGCCTATGGCAGCAGGCTCCATCCCTGATCTTTATTCCTGCTGGCCTCTCAGCTTGCAGAGCTTAGGTGGTTGCAGCAATATTCACCATCCCATCTTCTCATTGCTTTCACAGAACCCTTGGCTCTCTGACACGCACCAGCTCCCCACTCCACACCTGACTCAGCCTTCTTTCTCTTTTATAGCACAGGAAATTCCACCCTTTCCATCCTCTCATTCTTGGCAGGATACTACAGATTTTGCTTATATTGCTTTGGGGTCTAGAGACAGGTTTGAGAAAAGGCTCCTATGTACAGCTGCAAAGAAAGCAAGAAAGGTCACACTTTGGGGAGGAAAGGCTTAATGGGTTTTTTTTAAAAGTGCTAGTTTACATGAGCATCAATTCACAATTTAAAGTTATTTGTATAGGGGTTTTGACAGTAGTCAGAATGTGAGAACTAGAAGGAATTTTTGCTTAAAAAGTGTAATTAGTATGATTTTCATGTGTATTGTGTATTTTTGCACATCCTTGATGGAAGGGGGTTGTTTTATCTGGAATTTTTTCGGATTTTCCAGTGTATTTCAACACCACACTTAGTTCCTGTGGAGGCTGACTTCAACAGAATTAGTTAGACCAGCATGGAGTTTTTGAAACTCTCTTGTACTTTTGTACTGCTCTTTACAGTAGTATTTACAATGCCTCACATTGAGTAAAAGCTGGGCATCAGATCTTCCCCTGATGCAAGTTATCAGCATCATTTTATTTGGACATGTTTACTTTGTGATTCTGTGTATCTTTCATTCTTTTTGATCTCTTTATGCATCTATAACCATGGGGCTGGGATTTATACAATGGGACTCCCTCTGTCGTTCTGTGAGATTTTTCACTCTGCAGGCACTCCATAGCTTTGAAGGACTTCAGATCTTGAGCAAAATGAGTTCAGTGATGTGTCCCGGGAGAGACTGTTGACTACTCTGTAGATGTAATTTTATGACAATGGATTGTATTCTGAGTTAATGTTTATGCACCATATGGTATGTTGTCAAGTTTCATTGTATTTATGAAGATCTCAATAAAATGAAATAAAAATAAAAATACATGTTCAGGCCAAGTGTGTTTTCAAGAAAAATAACAAATACCTCTAGATTTTTCCTTTTAATTTAGACTTACGCATAAAGAATAACAACAGGTAATAACAGTAGAACTGGCCTAGGCCAGAGATAAAAATAGGAAGTTCTGCAAGTAGTACAGAAACATTTAGGACTATAACCAGGCAGCCTGTTTAGAGGTACCTAACTTAGATACTGCAAGCATCAGGATTTCTAAAATCATAGAATCACAGAATGGGCAAGGTTGGAAGGGCCCACAGAGGGTTATCTGGTCCAACCTCCCTGCTCAGGCAGGATTACCCTAGAGCACATGGAACAGAATTGCATCCAGACAGTTCTTGAATATCTCCAGTGAGGAAAACTCCAAAACCTCTCTGGGCAATCTGTTCCAATGCACCGTCACCCGCACAGCAAAGAAGTTCTTCCTCACATTCCGGTGGAACTTCCTGTGCATCAGTTTCTGCCTATTGCCTCTTGTCCTGTTGCTTGGCACCACCGAGAAGAGCCTGGGCCCCATCTTTTGACATCCTCCCTTCAGATACTTATAGACATTGATGAGGTTCCCTCTCGGCCACGTCTTCTCGAGACTAAACAGGCCCAGCTCCCTCAGCCTTTCCTCTCAAGAGAGATGCTTCAGTCCCTTAATCATCTTCATAGCTCCAGGAGCTCCACATCTCTCTTGTACAGAGGAGCCCAGAACCGGACACAGCACTCCAGGCGAGGCCTAAAAACGAGACAAGTATTGCATCAGTTGCTGAAGAGGTTTGAGCTCCTGGATCAGTGGAGACTCCATCCCTAGCAGGTGGTGTTAGGCACCTATTGTGGTGGTCTGCCTGGTGCAGAATACAGCCCACAGCTTCCTACTGACTGGTGCTCTTGTAGGCTTATTGCAAAGGTGTCTTATAAAAAAGCAGTAGGCAAATGAGGTTCAGGAAACCTAAGAAGCAATCTGTGAAAACATAAAAGAATAATCCATTCCATGGGGGGTAAAAAACTGCACAATACTCACACCCCCACCTCTGATTTAAAATACCACAAAAAGTCAAGAAACAAAGTAAACTCAGAGAATTCTTTTCAGTAAATTTTATCTTTTTCTTACTGTGGTCTTTACCAAGTTGTTCAGTTTCTTTTGTCTAAATATTGGGAGGAAAATCTGTAATTAAACACAGAAATCATTTTCCATTATCATATTCCTAGTGCAGTGTATGTGCTGCTAAGAAACATTTACAAATTAGAAGCATTTACATTCAAATTATCACATGTATTTGTGTATTCATGTACTGAGAAAATGGAAGAGGGAGTTTAAAACCAGTTGCCTCTTTCCTCCCCACTTTCTCAGTGTAATATGTCCTCTCCAAATGAATTGCCTCTGCTCAAGCAATGTGCCTGCATGGGATCCACTAACGTATGTAGCATTCTACAAGAGTGCTGAGTCCACACAGCAAATTCCATTGGAAGGACCAGGCATAAAAGATATAAGCCTGTAATTAATTTTATGAATGCTAATAGTCCACTGACCTTCTGACAGACCGTTTGCTCAATGTGATGAATACACTAAGTATGTCTGTAAAGCTTTTCAAGGCTGAGCACTTTGACTATAAAATCCTTGGCATTTATGTAAATATGTATTGAGCACAATACGTTTTAATCCTAGTGGAACTCTCTGGGTGCCCATATGGTCATCCAAACTACTAATGTTTTTATCCTTTCTTTGGAACTGTTGTTCTCTTCAGAATTAAAAGATAAATGGGTCACTTTCAAGAAATACTAGAAGTTGGTTCTGGCAGTTATTTCATTTTCCTTTTCATCTTTGCCCAGAATTAGATATTCAATTAAGAATAGCTTAATTACAGAACAAATATGTGTCAGGGGGTGTCATTAAAATTGGAGCATGAAGAGTAGCTCAGACTTGGAATATGCCTACTTTAATTTGCAATATGGGCTAAAAGAGAAATTTGTATTTGCATTGTTGGAAAGTGCATTATTGTGACTTTTTTTGTGTAGAAGAGTTAGGTAGTTCCTTTGTATCATGTATAGACCACCAGCAGCACAGAGTTTAGTCAGATCTTCATGGGTCTTTATGGAGACAAAACCCACATTTGTAACTGCTGACTGACAAAAAAAGGGATTTTCAGTGATGTTTGCAGGGCAAGAACAGAGAAAGTAACCTAAACAACTGAGCTGATAATCAAATATTCATCACAAAAACAGGGGCAAGAAAGGCATTTACTTTGGGTCAGGGATCTAAACTGCCCAGATACACCTGATAGTTTTACAATGGAGTACTCCACTGTGAATAACAAAATCAAATATTTAAATTGTTATTGAAAAATAAAGCACTGTCTGCAGAAATCTCACAGATTTTGGACATGCAGCCTTCCTGGGCTCAGTAATTTTTGTGTGAGAGAAAGGAAAACAAGATTTCCCTCTCTTTACTGCCTTCAAATCCTTCATCAGTTCCATCTTTGCAGATTTCCTTAAGAATGAGTTTTGAAGGGCTCCAAGAAAAATCTTGCATTAAGAGAACATTGAAAGTTCAGTTCTGCCTCACTCAGTCATGGTAAGAAACACCTTCCTGTATGATGAGTCCAGATTCCCTGCAAGAAACTACTACTTCTCCCTCAGCCCGAGACAGACTCTGTCTCAAAGCCTGTGCCATCCATCTGTGGAAAAATCACTATGGTCCACCTAAGTCTAGAGATCCCATCAAGCTTGTACACTCAAGGCATATGGCTATTATCCTAACCAGGTGTTGCGTCTACAGTCTAAGTGACCCTGTACTCATCCATCACACTCAGCTGGTGAAGAAGCCACGTGCATGAGTCCTCTGAAACACTCAGTCACCCATGGCCTTAACTGTAGCTCAGCCATCGCTTGTGTTACCACAAACCCTAAATGTATATGAGGACCTTCTTATACTGCTAAGAAATATATTCCTTGACCAGTGAGCCTTGCAGATGCAGAGACCAATAGTACACACCTGTGATGGTGAAGCTGCGGGAAAAGAGACCCAGAGAGATCAGCAGTGCCTCAGTCCAGAAGTTAACAGAGACCTTTGTCATTCTTTTAACACCAGGGCAGGACCTGAGACAGAAAAAAATGTCATTTACCTTCAGCCTCAGAGAGAGAGGAACCATTCTGGGTTAAACATTGCTATTAATAGTAGTCATTTGCCTTTAAGCAAGCAGTAAATGCTATGAGTTTGAGCCTTCTTGTTCACAGTTTTGGAAAGACATGAAACACCAGAAACTCTGCTATTAACAAAAAAAAAAAAAAAAAAAAATCTGTTCCACTTCAACGTTAGGGATTTCTTCCATTCCTACAAAAATATATGACCATGTCACCTTGGGCTGGCATTAAATGGGGAAATTACTGGTACTCAGGAAAGGAACATACTTTTACAAGACTTTACCTTACTTAATGGCAAATTTCCTGACAGTTGCTGTGCCCCAGAATAATGTTGCTTTCTTAGGGATGTTACTCCTGGGGACCACTGAGTTGCACATTGTTTTCAAGAAAGGTTCCTCATGGAAGTGCACATTCAAATGATAAAAGCTGTTATCACAGAGAGCCTGAAGCATTTATGTCCCTATTCTTGACCTTTATTTCACTGTTTTTACTTACGTTGCTTTCTGCTGATTTAATGCACATGTGCATAAAAAGCATACTGATGATCAGAATTCTTTTGCTATTGCCTCATTACAGGTATACTGGTAACTCTATGAGTTCACTTGACAACGTCTTGATATTATCTTGCCTAAGCACTGATGATCCTTTACGGCTGAACTTAATTGCAAGAGACATCTGGCACCATTAGTTTTGAATTTGTGGTTTGAGAGTTCACCTACAAATACAAATCTTGTTGCCACAGGAATTGGTCCATTTTGTTGTATCACCGCTTTGTCACATAAACAAAAATGTAACTGATCTGTGCAGTAGATGAAATTAAAGCAAAGACTCCAGGCAGAACCTTAGCTGCTGGACCATAGGCTGCCCCCACTTTTCCTTCTTACTGGGTTCTCTTAAATTATGTCAGGGGGTGGTAGAAAGTCCTTCCACACATTTACTTGCCAGCAAAACATGTGTTGTAAAAAATGTCTCCCTGACTTTGCTGAAAATAACTTGCTATTTGCAACATGCCAAGAGGAAGCCGGTCATACTTATTATGTGCAGAGAGCTTCGGCCTTCTTCCTTCAGCATAAATGTGTATTTGGCTGTTTGGAGTAAAGGAATCACAGTACAGAGAGAGGCAAGCACTGCACACACAGCTCTTGTACTCCTTTGACTGTGGGCATCCAGCAAGCTGGGCCTCATCCCTGCCTCTCACAAACAGCTGCCAACTTCTTCATGAAGTGACAGACACACAGAGATTGCTGTGGTCCTTTTGGGCTTGTACTGCTTGGATAAATCCCCATTCTCTGCCTTTGCAGACAACAAGCCCTAGCACGTTATGTAGCCAATGTCTGAACAGACATCAGTTTTGTACATTGCTCTGCACATTGCTCTGCTTAGAAGAGATTTACCATGTTCTGTACTTATAGTTTGTCCTTTCTTTGTTGTGCCTATTCCGGATTAGATTGTAAACTTTTCAAGGTAAAGGACCTATTATTTTGCTACACTTTACAACTGTATAGGCTAGCAGCACTGTGTAGTTGTACTTCTTCTGGGCTTTATACTTTGAAACATTATTTTGTGTAGAAATTAGCCTTAGATAGTTATTGTGTCTCTACTCCCACTGTGGGCATCTCTTCCAGATTTAAACTGGTGTTTTCAGATTTCAGCCAAGTTTTGGATTAATTTCTGAATTTGTTTCTGTAGATTTCTAAGTGTGCCCAGTTCTCCAGTTGTAGCAGCTTGGATGCTGGGGAATTTTTAAACACTTTCTTCTTCTCTGTTAAAAACTTTGTATTGTCTTAGTCTTCACTTCAAAATATTATCATGCAACTGTCTAAAATACTTTTTATGATTTTGAAATCTTTCAAGGATTTCAGCTGGAAATATTTGACAGACATCTGCTACATTTTATTTCCACAGGATAAATCAATTAATTAAGCCTAAAGATCTAAGAATAGAACAGCAGTAAAATGAGGTGTGAACTATTTGCTTAAGCCTCAGAGCTCCATAGCCTTTCCTAATGAGTCTGTTTGTCATGAAATGAGAAAGAAGAGTTCTTTAGAAGACTAGCAAAAATACTGGGCCAACAGAGGATGTATGGAGTGTTTTAACAGAGTAACTTGAGTGCAGCAGCAAGTCATTAAACTTAGCAAAATGGTGAAGGAAAGGTTTGCTACAATCCATAGCCTGGAGTGATGTCACCAACTAAACTCACTTCATGACAACAGAAGTTGTCCTAGACTGATGAGAAAGTGTCCTCTGACAGAGGTCAGCATTCCTCTGCCTAAACAGGCTTGTCAAGGAAAAAATATGTTAGCTCGACTTGCTTGGACAAATTATACAATAGCATGTGGCCATCAGCACTGTGAAACATTTTGTGGGTTATAAAATGTTTAACTGACCATTCAAATTCTAGAAATATTGCATTCGTGGCAGCAATCAGCTCCTCAGAGAGGAGGCAGCAGAGTGTGAAACCTGAATTCCAGCAACAGAGAGGCTGAAAGAATAATTAAAACTAGAAATAACTTGGAGCTGCTAGAAATTATATTCAAGGTTTGCCATACAGCAATAATATCTATACTTATGTAGACTTGTGTGCATGGACGTGTATGTAATGACAATGTCAGAGTTTCCAAACAGAAAGACAGTTGCCAAATCTTGTTCACTAGCTATCATAATTTGCCAGAGTGAACCGGTTTTAAATATTCTCTAAGGACTTCTGGTCATAAATATTTCCAAAAAGCATGCACTTAGCTCATGACAATCAACATCACAAAACAACACTACATCTAAATTAGCAAAGTAGAGAACTCTTACTTATTGACTAACCCCTAATGTTTCTTCTGTCTAGTGCTCCAGGCCTGCAGCTTATATGGTAATAGTATTTCTGGTTTCAGGAAGTGTGCATCCTGATATTGCATTTTTATATAGAAGAATAAATACTCTATAGCATATTTTCTTATTGAGGAAACTCTTTTGACTTGAGGAAAAAAGTATCCTCCTATGAATTTCCTTTAACTTTACAGGACACTGCCTTTCTGAGAACCAGTATCTCTCCTGGACATTTCAAAGGACTACACAGAGAACTTACTTTTTTCTCAAGGGACCTAAGATACTGCGTTTGGACTTTTAAGTCAGTTCTAGTATACAGATGTGGACTTCAGGTAGAATGAACAATGCAAAGAACTTGTTTGGACTTGGCATCTCCTTGTATTTTTGGGGACTAATGGACCTTACTACAACTGTGCTGTCAGGAAGTGCCAGGCCCCTCACTGAAGGGCAAGAAGACAACCTGTCAGACAAGCTGCATCAGCGTATGAAGAGGAGCTGGGTGTGGAACCAGTTCTTTGTTCTGGAGGAGTACACGGGAACTGACCCTCTCTACGTCGGGAAGGTAAGACCCGCACCGGGAGGATATCTGGCAGAGTATATGCATCTGTGTGTCTGTGGACTGTGGTGAGACACAGGATGTTTCCCTAAATGCCTCTACCTTCTTTCAGGCTGTGAATTTATCCACATTAATTTCACTTCTGCTCCCAAGAGCTTTTGCCTCATGTCACCTTCATTTGGGAAGAATTTCTGTTTCAAGGGGCTGTCAATATATTTGCCTGTTTCAAAGAGATCTGCTGCATCAATCATCATCTGTAATTTGAGGTAGTGTTAGAAAATCTGCAGCGATCTTTCCAGGGACTCTACAATGTCAAGGCAAAGCAAGGTTATATTGATATATATGGATTAGGAAAGAAAGGAAGAGTTTGTGATCATGCTTCTATCCATGATCAAGTCAGCTGGAAGCTGAAATTCACAATCAAATTAAATAGCCAGTTTCTCTTGAAAACTGACATTTCAATTTTTGCTTTCTGCAAATCTCTAGGGTCAGAGTATCTTCTGGCTTACCACATCTTGACTTCAGATTAATTCTGTGGACTACAGAGAAGTTGCTACAGATCTGGAAGAGTAGAGGGACAGCTCATTAAATCCAATCATGAAGGGTCCTATTTTTTGGTCCCTTATACCCCAAGAACCTACACATCAGTACAAATAAATGTAAAATGTACTCCTGAGCTCATCCTATTTAGTTGGTAATATTTTGCATTTACTTTTCTGCAGCTCCTTGGTTAACAAGCTGATGGAAGTCAGATCAGTGATATCTGTCATCATAATTTGCCTCACTATAACCATTCTTTTTCTTTATTTTCTGACTGTTTTTAAAGACCTTGAATTGTTTAAAGTATTGACTCTTATTCAAAGGTTTATGGTCAGCGTTAGGTTTGCTTCTATTCTACACCAAGGTGACAAATTTGACACTGGGGATGGGGAGAGTTAGTGTGCTTAAGTGTTTGAACAATACGATTAAGTTTTTACACATCTAGAATATCAGATGCTGCTATGATGAGTGGATACTAAATATAGGTATATATGAAAAATAAAACCTAAGAAAGGATGTCAGAAAAAATCCTTCAGATTTCATCGCTTATTTTTTACATGATATAAGCTCCTTTTTTTCCCAAGCTATCCATGCTCAAGGGGGGAAAAAATTACGTATCCAGAGGCCCAGTTTGGTCTCTTATTTATCATTCTTCAATCCCATAGAGCTAAGCTGTGCTCTAAAGTCATACCAGTATAAATCAAAATGAATCCATGGGCTTCAAAAGACCTCCTCCTGATTTGTGCCTGCGTGATTGACAGTGAGATGTGCTCTCCTTCCTCCCACAGCAATGGCATTACTAGTGATTGCCACCAAATGAGACCTCATTAGTCTTCATTCATCTGTGCACCTAGCTTTTCAGCTCTTGATATCTCTATTGATTAAAGAAATTAATATTTGTTTTCATGCAATTTCCAGCTTTGGAACAAGGGCCAGGCTTATTATTTCACGTACTCAGTTAATCTAAAATGACTTCAGGCTTCCACTGTGAGCCAAATTTTAGCTAAAACAAATACTGGGAGAAACCGACTCATCTTTGTTT